AGATCAATCTCCTCTATAGGACCCTCTAGTAAAGCAAAATACCTCAGCCAACACTTACAAAAGGGCTCTTTCATTTAAGGTTGACAGACTTGAAATATTTGTCTTGAATTATTTCTGCCATTAGTATGCTGTCCGTTTCCTGTGCATGAATCTGGTTTTAGAGCCTCTCAAAAGTTCTACTCCTTTTAAAACTTCTTTGTCCTAATCAAACACTTCTTAAACCATAGTCTACTTTTTCCCCCTAGAGCTGTCTGAGCTTTCAAACACAGTTTTCTGAAGCTGGTCCTTGATGGATCGCATTTCTTTTGAATATGCAGTCTTTAGATGAAGCTCTAAATTTGGGTTCCACACATTTAAGAATTTGTATTATCAGATTAATCAGTAGGAAGAATTAATTGTCCCACTGCTTTTAATGGAAGATCAGGGAGAGAAAGGATCATTTTCTTGACACATAAAAGGACTGTTCAACCATGAGCAATTAGCTAAGAGGAAAGAATTAGCTCAGATTTGAAATATGTCATTTTTCTCGCATTCCTGGAACACAGACAGGGGCTTGTTCCCTGAGCTCAGAACTTGATGTTGGCCTATTTTACCTTCCATTTTTGTCACTAGTGTGTTTGGTTTGATTTTTTGTCTGTCAAAGCATATACTTATAAACTAATATGAAGCTTCAAATTCCTTTATTTTACCTAACCTAAACATAAATCTAAGACCTCAAAGGGAGGGGGGGAGGGAGGTGGAACTGGGATTGACGTGTGAAACAAGCTATTTAAAATTAAAACAAAAAATGATAAAAAAGAACAACAACAAAAAAAGACCTCAAAGGGAAGTGAAGGGAGCCAGTGCCTTCTTCTGCCTTGATTTTATTTGTTTTAACTGCCAAAAGCAAGTCAGAGGAAAATGACTGAGAATTTCTTTTAAAGGTAGTATCTGTTCTCCATCCCAAGGAACAGTTCTGGTCTACCTTGGTTATTAGCTTTTGACTGCAGACAGTCATGGCTTTTACTGATCCTTCTATCTTGACTTCTGTCTCATCACTCCGTACCCAGACACACTTCTCAGCTTGCTTGGAGTGCTGGTCCTGCCTCTTACAAATTGAGTGGCAACTTAGTGAATCCTCTGTGAGCTCCAGAATTCTAGAGAAAGACATCAAAGAGCACAAAGCCTGGTAGAAGGAGAACTAAGGGGAATATGGAGCCCGCTGAACCTGGTATGAGGTGATTTGACTTCAAGTTCAGGTTGCTTCGGTGCTAATGGTATTTCTTTGTATAGGTATTTTTTCATTTCTTCACATTTCTTGCAAAACACACAGCTGACAAAAAGGTCAACACCGAGAGTATGCAGAGTGTCTACCTTTCAATAAGAAAGAAAAAAGAACCCCTTCTTCTCCTTCTCCTTCTCCTTCTCCTTCTCCTTCTCCTTCTCCTCCTCCTCCTCCTCCTCCTCCTCCTCCTCCTCCTTCTTCTTCTTCTTCTTCTTCTTCTTCCTCCTCCTCCTCCTCCTCCTCCTCCTCCTCCTCCTCCTCCTCTTCTCCTCTTCCTCCTTCTTCTCCAAGCCAGGAATTTGTGAATGCATGTACTATCACTAAACCATGCTCTCAGTCCTAACCTAATTTTTAAAAGTAGAGAAAAATCTTCAGTTAGAATTTCTAAAGAAAAGCTCTAACAACATGCTAAAAGATACTCAACATAATGTCATCAAGCAAAAGCAATTTAAAATCATAGCAAGATGTCTCTTTAAGTCTAGCAGACAAAGCTCAAGGTATAGTTAACAGGTGGACAGTACTCAGTGTTTTGATGTAAGAACACAGAAACTGGAGTCTCACACCTTGCAGGTGGAAGTGCAAAATGGTAACTTATTATAAAGTTAAATATATGATTGCTTTGCAAGACTAGAAACTCTAGTCTTGATACTTACCCAGGGAAATTACATGTAAGTCTGTGAAAAATGCTTACACATATGTTCCTAGAGTCTTTAGTATACATAACAGTTAAAAAAAACCTCAAACACCAATTGGCAGTTGAATGGATGGACAAACATTTTTATAGCAAGCTGGGACTACGGTATTTTTAAAAAGGGTTTAAACACTGAGGTACCATAAAGTGGGTAAATTAAAAACACCATGTTGACTTACAGAAGGACAAACAGAATGACCCATTGAATAAAAAATATGAACAAAGCAATTTATGGTGAAAAGATTTGAGAGTGTGGCCTTTCTTGGTAAGCACTGGCTGGTGATACTATATAGGCACACACATATAATGCAGTGATATTGATTGGAGTTCAATAAAGCAACTTTTAAAAAAGACCACAGCATAGAACCCAAAAGATTGTTAAGCAGTGTAATCAGGAGAATCCAATGTTAAGACACATCCCCTGGCATTTTTAAGGTTTCTGAGGTCAAGATGTGCCTTAAAGTCAATGGCATGTCAAAGTTCAGTATTTTCTGTTCTTAGAGGTGTGTTAAATTACAGAACACTGAAAGCTGGTGACTTCCAAGTATTTTTAAAAATTTTTACAAAATTCTTACTCTAGTCATCTCAACTGAATACTTATTCCGCAGTTCCTGCTTTGATATTGCTTCTAACGCCTACTAATAACTTAGGTATTGGGCAATCTAGCATCTCTCTGATTCATGCCCTACAAAATGACTTTCTCTAACAACTACGCCTTGGAATCATTGAAGACAAATTAACCTGGCTGCCAGACTCCAGCCCTGCTCTCTACAGCTCCACAGCTGGGGCTTCGGCTTCCGTTAATAGGCTCAGCTAGGCCACAGCCTTAAGGACTCGCTAAGCCAAAGGCAGGAGTAACTTGAGCGTTGCCATGACTCCAGCTGCCAATTCTGCTCAATCCCTGTCCAGTCCTAATGACTAGTTTCACAGAATGGTGGGAACTGTCAGCCAAGTCTTTTCCATTCCCCCAAATTAGTGTGAAAGATAACTCTGTGTTGGTTCACTTAACATCTCTTCCCAACCTCATCATCCCATGCTGTCCTCAATTAGGGAGGCTGAAAAGCCAAGTGCTCGGTTTTCTAGCCTCCCTGGTTACTTGTGGTAGCCATGTGACCTGCGCTGGCCAATGAACATACTGCAATGGGAGAAGCTTTGATTTATTGTTACTCCTGCTCACTGTGTCTTACCTTGAACTAAGAAGTGATGAATGAATACAGTCATGCTTTCTGGCAGCTGTTAAGTGGCAAGGATGAAGGACTCTATGCCAAGAGGGTGCAGAGGGAAAACAGAAACAGCCTTGAAGCAAACTATAGTTACAGTTTTAATGATACCATTAATGACTATCTTTCTAGAAGTCCTTAGCTACTAGTGACTCACACTGGAATACTAATAGGTTAAATGTGAGGTCTAGAACTTGCTTCCAAGTTGCCCAGGGGAAGCTGATGGAAAGAATAAATTTGTAGGTAACTGGTATAAGACCAACAGTTGAGGAAACTGGATAGACAAACACATGGGCCAACTCTATTTTCATGTATGTTTTACATCCTCCATAATAAAACGACTAAGATGTCTGGCTGAGACTACCTTAGTCATCAAGTTTAACATCACCAGTTGGATCGGGCACTTTCTGTTTAGTGTGGCCAAATATCTAATAAGAAGAAATCTAAAGGAGGAATGTTTTGTTGTGGCTCCCAGTATAAGAGGACAGGCAAGACCTGGGAGTTTCTAGAAGCATGAATGCGTGACTGGGACACCTCACATGTGAGCAGTCCAGGAAGCAGAAAACAAGGAATGTTATTACCCATCTGGATCCCCCTTCCCCATGCCTTTTATTCAGTCCTGGCCCCCAGCCCATGGAGTGGTACCATCTACATTCATGGGAGGTCTTTTCTCCCCACCCTTGAAAGTGCCTGAGTCGTACACAGTTCCACCAGACTTGGCTGACGCTTCCTCCTCATTTAAACCCCTCTGAAAACAACCCCACAGACACGTCAGAGGTGTGTTCCCTAGGTGACTCCAAATTCAGTCAGTTGTCACTGAAGATAAACCACCACAGAAGTTAACAATTGAGAGATTCACATCACTATTGCTTGTCATGTTGAATGCGTGTATCCCTTGATACGATGTAGTGAGAAGGGCATTCCATGTCTAGAGTGATCCTCCCCAAGTCATCTCAGTATAGTTAGGAGAAATCATTAGACAAATCAAACTGAGGAATATCCTATAAAATATCCAACCAGAATCCTTCCAGAAATGCCCAAACTGTGAAAAACAAGTGAAGACCAGAGACACTGACAGCTGAGAAATGCCTAAGGAGATCTGGGGATTAGAGGCAGTGAGGCATGGGCTGGATTCTGAACTGCACAAGCACATTCGTGGACAAACTGACAAAAATGCCAATGAAAACTGTGTTTAACTAACAGTATCAATTCAAATGTCTTACTTCTGACTAATGTTTTAAAGTGATGGGAAGTTGGGTAAAATGGACTTATACCCTCTTTATGATTTTCCTGTGACTAAAGTCATTCCAAACCAAAACAGATTATGTAAAGAAAAATCAGAAAGAAAACAAGAGCTTGACTTTGCAATGACACTACTGAACACTGAGCTAACATCAGCAACGACTCATCTCCAGAGCCCTGGTTATGTAAGAAAAAAATTCTGAGTAGCAAAGTTAGCTGGTGTGTTACATGTAGTTGACTAAATATGAACTGATAAGATGTGCTTGCTTGCCTGGTGCAGTTAGCTGTTAGAACCCACGGTTAAGAATAAGAGCCCTTAGTACCTTGAAGCAATTCAGAAGCAGAACTACTCACAGTGCTGGCCAGAGGCATCATTCCAGCAGGACATACATGCCAACTTCACCCCACCCCATCCCCCGTGCTCATAAGGGAACCAGAACATGAAGGGGAAGGACTGTCTCTCTCGGAGCCTGCCTGAAGCAAACATTTAGTGCCCTTGTGTTGTAAGACCAGGAGGGATGCAATAACTTTCTTCTTTATTTCAATTCTTCATTGTCAGTGTTTTTCTGCTTCACTTCTTCAGGTACATGAATCAGGAGGTGCAATGGAGAACAGATCTCATGCAATAGCAATAAAAATATACAACACCCATCAGTAAAGCAGTAAAACTGTGTGAGACACGTATGGATAAAAACATGAAACTTTACAGGAGATGACAGAGGAACCTGAATGAAAGCAGTGTCATCGTGTTCCCGCATGAAAAGATGTGCTGTAAAGTGACCTGTGTCCTAAATGAATCTGCAAGTCAAAGTATTGTCAATCAAATGTTGGGTGTAAAAATCGAGTCTCATAAACTCTATAAGACTAACTAAAATGGCTCATATATCTCAATGAAAAACATAACTGTAACACACTTAACAAGATAACAGGCAAGAAACCTTCCACCATCAAAGAGTTCCTGGAAATGACTCCCAAAGCACCAGCCATAAAAGATGAAGTTGATAAATTAGGTTTCATCTAAAGCTTAAAACTTTGCTCCTGGAAAGACTATGTTAAGAGAATAAAAAGATATGAAATGGCTAGGCCAAAAGCAATCACATATCACATCTAAAAAATGTGAGCAACTACCTGGTTCTGGAGCCCAGTAGAAAATGAAAACATGGGACTCTCATTGCAAGATCATTAAGGATGGCAAGATGGAGGGAGATGGACCAGAGGACTTGCTGTGTATTCAACAGACTGTTGTTTGTGTCTCCAGAACTCACATAAATGCCAGCACCCTTGAGATTGTCCAAGTCCCTTACCTTGTCAGCTGTCCGCTCGGTCTTCCTTGCTGAGATGCACCATTGCATAGACAGTTGTACCAGGGTTCACCCATGCTCCCCTACCAAGGAAGAGGAACCTCTTCTGAATTTCACTGAGAGATTCCTACTCAAAAAGACAAAGCGGAAGAACCACAGAGGAAGATTCCTAACATCAGCTTCATGCCTCTACACATAACATTCATGTGCACCTGCCCATACCTGTGTGCAGACATGCAAACACACATACATGCACACACAGAGTGTATACACACACACATACACACACACACACACACACACAGAGAGAGAGAGAGAGAGAGAGAGAGAGAGAGAGAGAGAGAGAGAGAGAGAGAATACTTCAAGGATACAAGAACCCAACATTAAACAGGAGGGGAGCTTTAGTAGTGTAGGGTCCTATGTGACCACATGGGACATAGTCTCAAGGGGATGGCCTAGCCAAACAAAGAATTTTCATCCAGAATATGTAAATAATTTTAAAATTCACTAGTAAGAAAAGTAATATCTTAAAAATAGGCAAATGATTTGAATAGATGCTTCATGAGTGAAAATATAAGACAGGTTTATAAACACATGAAAAGATTTTCAACACTAGTAGTCATCAGAGAGATGCCATCAAATCCTAATGAGATACCATTTCACACTTAAAGGAATGACTTCAATTAAAAACTGCATACAGGGGGATAGAGAAATGGTTCAAGCAGTTAAGAGCAAGGGATGTGCTTCCAAAGGACTCAGATTCAATTCCCAATACTCACATGGCCGTTCGTAACTCCAGTTCCAGGGGATCTGACACCCTCATACAGACATACAAGCTGGCAAAACCCCAATGTATATTTAATAAATAAATCTTAAGAACAAGAAGGAAGAGGAGGAGGAGTAGGAGGGAAAGAAAGAGAGGGAGGGAGGGAGAGAGAGAGAGAGAGAGAGAGAGAGAGAGAGAGAGAGAGAGAGAGAGAGAGAGAGAGAGAGAGAGGAGAGGGAGAGATTGGGCCTGGCTTGAGTATTTAAAATCCCAAAGCCCACCTCTAGTGACACACTTCCTCCAACAAGGTCACACCTCCTAACAGTGCCACTCCCTAGTGACCATGCATTCCAATCTATGAGCCTATGGGGGCCATTCTTATTCAAACCACCACAACTCTACAAAGCTGAAAAGAGGAACCCTGTCTCAAACAAACAAAAACAAAAATTACATTACCAACTATCAGAAATAATACAAAGGAGTGCCAACTCACACTGATGCATTTGGCAATTTTGCACAAAGCTGGATCTACACTTGCTTACCAACCCTTGATTTCAACTCCAGGAAACACACACACACACACACACACACACACACACACACACACACACACACACACGTGCGCGCGCACAAAATCCTGTATATGGATGCCCAAGACAGTACTAATGGTAAGAGTTCCCAAACTGCAAACACTGTGAGTCCTCCTCCTTGGTAGGGGAGTATGGGTGAACCCTGGTACATCTGTCTATGCAATGGAGCATCTCGGCAATGAAGAACGAGCAGACAGCTGACAAGGTAAGGGACTTGGACAATCTCAAGGGTGCTGAGTCAAAGAGCAGCCTCATGGGGTTATGTAACTATATGGTTCCATTTATATACTATTCTTAAGAATGAGGTGGCAGGGATCACATAGGGATCGGATCACCAGGGCCAACTTTCACGACTGGATGAAAATATGAGGGTGAAGAGGTGGTGGACAGGGAGACTTTTTTTTTTTGATTGATGAAGCTGCTCTGTGTCTTGACTGTGACTGTGTTCACACTACTTTATGCATGCTTCCAAACTCTTGTACCTGAGCATCTCCATTCAAATTTAGCTCTATGCTCAGTGAAGTCACAAATAGAATTTTGAAGTTTAAGTTGGGATGGGAAGTAAATCCTGAAATTCAGCTAGAAGAGAAAGCATACAAGAAGAATAAAGATGTTTAAACAAGCTGATAGGTAAGCATGTCTGAAGACCTGTTCTTCCAGTTGCAACCTTTTATGAGATTATCCTGGTTGGAGCATGGGACTGGTACAAACCCAGAGCTTTGGGCAGAGAATACAAATGGATGGGAGAAGTTGAAGCCAGCGTAGACAGCCTTGATAAACTTAGTTTATGATGAATTTAGTACTTTCAACCATACACAGGTGGGCTGCAGTCAACCCATCCTATCTAAAATGTTCCTTAGAGGCAGATTCAGCCAATCTTAGGGGGAAAACATTTGTATTGTGTCTATACTGGCTATGTGCAGATGCTGCATATTGCTATTTCCCAAATAGAGTATAGAAGGCATTTTATGGTTTTTATACTGCATTAAGTATTATAAACAGACTAGAGGTGATTTAAAATACATTAAAGAATGTGAGAAGGAATCAGAAAAACACCATGTCATCTTATATAGCGGACTTTGTTTGGGAAGTCCTTTGTCAATAAAATACTGTTGAGCCAATAGGAATCTAGATAGGTGGGACTAGGAGTCCAGGAGGATTCTGGGAAGGAGAAACACAAGGAGATTCGAGATGTAACCGCCATGGGGTAGGAAGCCCGGAACTATTCTCCGGTAAGAGAAATACTTAGATTAACAATTATGGGGTAATTACTTAAGTCAGAGCTAGTCAGTAAGAAACAAGCAAAGGCCAACAGCTTCATAATTAATACAGCGTCTTGTGTGTTTATTTGGGGACTACAATGCGGCAGAGCCCAGGCGGCTGGCGGGGGATAAACCAAAGCGGCTAGCAAGGAAAATCTTCTCTTAACAGGACTTGACCATTGGTGGGTTGTAACACCCAGTTGGGATCCTAGACTCCGTCTACCCTGGATGCCAAGAGACAACTGGATTCATTAAATAATTGGAAATTAATATATAGCTATATTTTAAAAGTTAAGTCTAAGGAGAGATGGCTCAGCAGGTAAAGGCATTTTCTGCCTAACCTGGCCACCCAAATTCGATCCCCAAGCCATACACTGTAGAGCAGGGTAACTGTTTCCTGTAAGTTGTTCTCTGATTGCTACACACATATGTGATGCACCTGCTGCCCTCCCTACTGCTACATAAATACATACAATAATTTTTAAAGTAAACTTTAAATTTTCATGTTACGCAAAATTAAATTATAGCTGCAATAAAAAGAACTAATTGTATAAAACAAGATAATAAAAGCATCCTTCAGAAAGGATGAAAAAGTTCTTGGCAGTACAGTTTCTAATGGAGAGAGAGAAAGATATGGCAGCCCATCGGCAATGAAATAAAGCATGTTCACCCTACACTGTAATTATATTAATATATTTGCCCACATGAAAAGATTTTTTAAATGTAGAACACAATTTGTCTTTTTTATATTTGTGCTTCTTCCTTTCTTTGTTTTAGGACAGGATCTAATGTAGCTCAGACTGGCCTTAAACGTACTATTTAAGTGAGGGTGACCTTGAATTCCTGATCCTTCTGCTTCTGCCTCCTGAGAACTGGGATGACAAACATATTCCACCATGCCAGGCCAATAGTTTTTTAACTGCAAAAATTTCACATGTGCCTATTAAAAGTGCACACAAACAGTCTAGGAGGGCCGCGTGCTACACCACTGCTTACAGTGAGATGGAAGGGATAGGGGGAATGGAGAACTCTCAAGTGTAACTCTACCCACTTAATGTTTAAGAGATCACTGATGTGTACAATACTGTATTGTTGACTGTAAAACATGAACTACCTTCACCACCACTCAAACAGCCTGAGGAAAGAGATTTTAAAGAAGAACCTCTAGGGACTGGAGAAACATGTCTTCAAGGAAGTCTGGTAGAACCTGTCACAGAGAAGGGATCAGTGCTAGGCCATGCAGATCCCCCTTGCCTAGAAAGGCTTTTCATTCAGGCCAGGCCTATTGTTTTGCCACCCTAAACTCAGTTCACCAACAAGAAGTAGTTTAGGAAAAGAGAGACCTTCACACTGTGCTCCAGGTCTAGTTTGTGTTCACCCATTTGCATTTGCAGTATTTTTTATTTTATTTTTTGTATAAGGGAGAAAAACAAACCCAAGCAAGAGTTAAAGTTTGAGAAGAACACTACCCTGGGGTTGGAGAAATTGCTCAGTGGTTAACAGCACAGCCTGCTCTTGCAATGAATCTGGGTTCAGTTCCCAGCACCCACATGGTGGTTCACAACCACCCACAACTTCTGTTCCAGAGGATCAGCTGCCCTCTTCTGACCACCATGGGTACCAGACATGCATGTGGTGCGCATGCACACATGTAGGCAAAGCACTTATACACATAAAGTAAATAAATCTTAAACAATGAACATTCTGTCCTGTGACCTTAAACTCTGATGACCAGTCTGTACTAGTAGAGTTTGGAAAGTAAAAATCTAATGCTTGGGTTTATTGAGACACCTTGGCAACCATTCCCGTGGGGTTTATAGAAGCAAGATGGTGTTGGATAAGAAAGAGAGGGGATAAGGGAGGGAGAGAGATGGGGAAGAGGAGGAACAAGGGGGAGAGGCAGGGAAATGGAGAATGTTTCCATTGGAGAAGTCATCTATACACAGAAACCAGGGACAAGTAATTACCTCCTGGCCTTAGGATGCTAGAGGCTGGTGTAGTCACCTGATCTCACTACAGGTGTCCATTGCCCAGGTTCCTCCCCATCAGAAGGTGCTCCTCTTGGAAGACACAAAAAACAAGATACATAGAAAAGTCCATCTCATCTTGGCAGGGGAAGAGTTTGAAACACAGTTCTGAAAAACGTTTAGTGATTCTTAGAATATACCAGGTATATTTATTTCCTCACATAAAACTCCTTTTGTTAAAATTACTGATGCCTCTAGTAATAAGAATGGAATTTAAAATGACTTTAACAGAAATAACGACAATTCTGTCAGGATAAATCAAGTC